TCAGTTTACCCTCCTACAAGGAAACAAGGATGTAATCCCTGCCCTGCCCCCATAGTGGGTGGCTACGAGGGGTTGTGTGGTTTTTCTTTTTTCATTTTGTTTATCTGTGTCCTTGGGTTTGTCTACAGAGGTGGGGTGTGCCTCTTGCTGGGTGCGGTCACCCTGATAACTTGCCTGATGTCTTGCTCAGTGGAGCCACCTGGGCTGGGACTGCCTGCTGTGGTGGGAGGGGACTCTGGGGACTGCCCAGGATGTGACTGCTGGGCGGGGGTGGGGGTGGGGGTGGGTGGGTGGCCATGCCTTCCAGCGAAGGGTGAGGAGGGAGGGCTTCCCTCCTGATGACCAGGACGACCTGCTGACTGCTTCCAGAAACTCTGGCCCAGGAAACCTGACTCTGCTGGGGACAGGCCTGGCTTGGCCCCTGGGCCCTGGGCGCTGGCTGGGCCCAGGAGCTTTCACTTTTGTTTCTTTTCACTTCCTACTTTCTGGGAATGCAGTGACCTAGTTTTTAGCAGCCTTTTATGTCCCTGCCTGGCAAGGAGTGTGCAGGGCCCGCAGCACCGTGGGGTCCACTGCAAACTGACCCATGCGCAGGCTGCCTTGAAACTGGCTCCCCCAGGCTAGGCATGTGGTGCAGCGGTGAAGGGGCCGCTCGGGTCGCCCACATCCCATGTCGAGTGCCTGGGTTTGAGTCCCAGTTCCACTTCCAATTCTAACTTCCTGCTAATGCACACCCTGGGAGGCAGCGGGTGATGTCCCAAGAATTTAGGTCCCTGCCACCTATGTGGAAGACGCAGACTGAGCTCTGGGCTCCTGGCCCCAGCCAAAGTTCTTCCATTTGAGGGAGTAAACCAGCAGATGGGAGACTTTTCTCTTATGTTTATGTCTCTGTGCCTTTTAAGTAAACAAACAAACAAACAAAAAAACTGGCCTTGGGGCTGGTGTTGTGGCACAGCGGGTAAAGCTGCTGCCTGTGACGCTGGCATCCCATATTGGTGCCGCTTCATGTCCCAGCTGCTCCACTTCTGATCCAATTCCTCTTTTTTTTTTTTTTTTTTTTTTTGACAGGCAGAGTGGACAGTGAGAGAGAGACAGAGAGAAAGGTCTTCCTTTGCCATTGGTTCACCCTCCAATGGCCGCCGTGGCCGGCACGCTGCGGCCGGCGCACTGCGCTGATCCGCTGATCCGAAGCCAGGAGCCAGGTACTTATCCTGGTCTCCCATGGGGTGCAGGGCCCAAGCACTTGGGCCATCCTCCACTGCACTCCCGGGCCACAGCAGAGAGCTGGCCTGGAAGAGGGGCAACCGGGACAGAATCCGGCGCCCCGACCAGGACTAGAACCTGGTGTGCCAGCACCGCAAGGCGGAGGATTAGCCTAGTGAGCTGCGGTGCCAGCCCCAATCCCTCTTAATGGCCTGGGACAAGCAGCAGAAGCAGGCCCAAGTGCTTGGGCCCCTGCATCCACGTGGGAGACCTAATGAAGCTCCTGGCTTCAGCCTGGCCCAGCCCTGCCACATGGGGAGTGAACCAGTGGATGCAAGACCTCTCTCTCTCTCCCTCTCTCTGCCTGTCCCTCTCTCTCTGTAACTCTGACGTTCAAATAAAGAAATAAAAACAAAAGCTGGCCTCGCCCTAGCATCCACCTGCTCCCTTAACTCCCCCCTTCCTGGGTGCTCTCAGATATGCCTGGGTCCCTTCTACCTTGGCCCTTCCTGGGCCCTTGCCGCCTTGCCTCATGTCTCCTGATCTAGAACACCTCCTCCAGGGAGCCCTCCCTAGTACACCCATGTTCACTCTTGCACATGCCAGTCTCTTATTTATTTATTTTATTTATCTGAGAGGCAGAGGCAGAATTAGAGGGAAAGAGAGAGAAAGGGGTCTTCCATCTGCTAGTTCATTCCCCAGATGGAAACAGCGGCCAGAGCTGGGCCACTCTGAAACCAGGAGCCAGGGGCTTCTTTTGGGTCTCCCACGTGAGTGCAAGGGACCAAGCACTTGCGCCATCCTCCACTGCTTTCTCAGGTGTATCACCAGGGAGCCGGGTCGAAAGCAGAGCATCCAGGATTTGAACCGGCTCCCACATGGGATGAAGGCAGGGGCTTAGCCTACTACGCCCCAGCACCGGCCCCACCACACAGTCTTGTGTATCCTTTGGTGCCCCCTCTGGTCCCACCATGGCCTGCCTGGGACATGGGAACTGGAAAGAACCTTAGGATGGGCCTGGCCAAGCCTGTCAGTCGGATGGGGACCTTCTGTCAGTCATACAGACCACTGCCCAGACAGGTGCGTGTGTTTCAATTACTGTGTCTCCTTAGAGAAGCCCAGAAAGCCCTGGGAGCTTTGGGCCGGGTGTTCATTTTGTCTCCTCTCACTGCCCACTCAGACGGGACCTTATGGGATCTTAGAAGTGGAAGGAACTGGTCATCTGGGTCTCTACCCAGGGCTGAACCCTCTGAGAGGGGCTCGGTGCTTGCATTCTCCCCGTGGCCAACAGTTCACTACGTTGGGAACTAGCCCCTTTACCCTTCAGATAGGTGCTTCTTGGGCTGCGTTGAGATCTGTCATCCACAGCCCCCCGCTTGGCTCCAGGGACCTCCCCCGTGTCTTCCAAGGTGCCATCTTGTCCAGGATGAATGGCCCCATGCTTGCTACCGCTCCTCCTAAGACTCCTTCCTCTCTCATATCTGAACACACTTCATATGGGCACCACCTCACGCACAAGGCTGTGGGCACAGGAGCCCTGCCGCCCTGCCACCCCCCTGAGCCTACTGTCTGGGGGACCCCAACCCGTTCCCATCCACCACTTCTCCATGAACTGTTGTGTAGTCTCCGTGACTCTGTAACCCGCTGAGCCTGAAGCTCTTTTCTAGACTGTGGTTAACAGACACATGACGGAAAACGTGCTGTCTTAGCCATTTGAAAAGCACAGTCAGCCGGGCTAAGCGTGTTCATACTGCTCTGAAACAGAGGGCGGGAGCTGCCCCTCCTCACAGAACGGAAACTCTATGCTCATCCACCACCACCTTCCTTTTCCCCTCTCCCCACTAGATCTGAGATCTTTGGCTTTCCGATGAACGCGGGATTGCCCCAGCTCTTGACCACAAACACCTGAAGGCCTCAGAGTGTCACTCTGCCCTCCGCCAAGTCGCCACCTCCAGCCCTTTGCTCTCATCCCTCCCATCTCTGCCTCTCCACCAAAACCTCAGGAATCTTGGGGCTCAGAGCCCCCCATCCCAAGCCCACCCCACCCCACAGTACTGAGAGCCCAGTGACGAGCCCCGCTGAGCCCCAGCTACTCCCTCCTTACTTTATCAAAACCCCCTTGGACACTGCAGCCCCCATAGCCTGGCCTGAGGGCTTTCCTCTCCTGGTCTCTGCTAGCCCCGGGTGCCCTGAGACCTCGGACAGCCCTTCCTGTCCTCTTGGAGCCTCCATGGGATTTGACCTGAAGGCCCGCAGACTCAGAGGATCTGACCTGGCTGTGAGAGGGGGGTAGAGGACTGCTGTTGGGTCAGGTCCTCAGCCTTGGGAACACAGAGGAGGAGAAAGGAGCTGGTGATGTGACCTCGGGCAGGGGACCCAGTGTGACCCTTCCTCCCTGCTCAGGTTTGCACCCTTCCTGTCACCACCCACAGCCAGCCCTCAGGGCACGGGCTCCAGCCAGGCCAGATGGGACCGGGTTGGTGGAGGGGCCTTCTGTAGCCCTCACTTAGGAACCACCCAACTCACCCCCACCCCCATGGAGGGGAGCCCCTGGACTCCTAAGGCCAGTGCTTGGTGCCTCGTGATCTTAGCCTGGCCAGCTCATGTCCACAGAGGACAGGGGGCACCTCCTTCCTGACCCCCAGAGTGCTGGGTTGCTCTTCTCCAAGTGCCTCTGACACGTGTGCTCCCCTGCATCGTGGCTGTTGTCACAGTGCCAGTGTCTGTCTGCAAGGCTATCTCCCCCTTGTGTGCGTGGGCTCTTTGAGGGCAGGACATGCCTGGTTTGTCTCTGGACCTCTAGGATTCAGCTGTGGGACCTGGCACAGGGGAGGTGTTCAAAGACAAGATGAACAGATGGGTACACTGGGATTGGGTAGATGATAGATGGAAGGGTGGTGAATGGTGATGCTGGCCACAAGATGGATCAGTGAGTGGATGAGTGTTAGATGAAGAGTGGAGGTATGGCTGGACAGTACTGGGTGATGGATAGATGGGTGTTACATGGATAGAGAGCGGATGATGAAGGAGGGATGACACTTGCTGAAGGATGGGTGGGTGGGTGATTTGGAATGGGTGTTGGATGGATAGGAGAGGTTGAATGGATGGGGTTCCATTTCAGATCCAGGTTGGCGTGGCTTCTTTCCACTGACCTTGGCTGCCCTTGTCTTCCCCCAGTTATTCTCTGTAATCTTAGCCCCCCTTGACCTTGCCTTTTCTGAGGTCAGGACCTGGATGGGCAAAGCCTCCACCTCTTACCCACTGCAGCCCTAAACCAAGCTGATCCCCCCCTTTTTTTCTACATTGTTCCCTAATTCTGCCTCCTCAGCACTGCCCTTCCCTCGGCCTCTTTCCCTTAACTTGGTTTTGCCAGGCCAGGGTGAGCACCCCTCCCCCCAGCACTGATCCCCCGGCCAGGCCTTCCCAGGCCCCCTCACTCACCGTGGGGCTGGTCTGAGATACCCAGGCTCCTCCTGCCCACAGTTTCCTTCTGAGGTCCTGTGGCTGCCCATCCATCCCGGCCACCCCGCACTCAGCAGTCTGCAGGGTCTCGCAGCTCCCAGTCCTTCCCGTTGCCTCGGATAAAGACCCAAACCCCTACTGTGGCCCAAGAGGGCTCACAGCATCACGGAGCTCCCTGTGCAGAGACGGTGCAGAAGTGGTGTCAGGGATGGAAGCAGGATGAGCAGGGCGCGGAGAGTGGCCCCCTGGCTGGGGTGCGGGGCGCCATTGACCTTGGAGGGCTGGGAGGGGTCTTTTCTCTGTACTGAGCACTCTCCGTCCTGCCGTCGTTCCAGCTTCGAAACAGTTTAATGAGGAGGTGCTGAAGGCTCACAATGAGTACCGGCAGCAGCACGGCGTGCCCCCGCTGAAACTCTGCAAGAAGCTCAACCGCGAGGCTCAGCAGTGAGTCCCCCCAGCCTGCCGGGCCACCCGCGCCCTTTGCCGCCCTGCTGCTGCGGTCCCCGAGGGGCCACGGGCGGTTGGTGGGGGAATATGGGTTCTGGCACGGGCCACAGCCAGGCTTGAATCACCGCTCTGCCACGTAACCCGGGTAGGCTCCTTTGAGCCTCCGTTCGTGCCTCTGTAAAAGGGGACCCCATGGAGGCTCAGAGCCCATGCAGATGATGCCCCTCTGCTTCCTCTGAGAGCCCGGGCAGGGCAGGAAGCTCAGCCACTCACGCGTGGGGACCCTCCTGTGGGGATGGCCTGGCTGGGCCCTCTCTGAGGAAGCCCCACGGACTCCGGCAGGTACTCCGAGGCCCTGGCCAGCACGCGAATCCTCAAGCACAGCCCAGAATCCAGTCGTGGCCAATGTGGGGAGAACCTCGCCTGGGCGTCCTACGATCAGACAGGTGAGTTGCAGCATCAACCCCTCGGACCCCTCCCAGCCCCTCCGTGGGAAGGGGAAGGAGACCCTGAGTTCTCGGAATCTGCCGCAAGCTGGCTTCAGCTCCCCAGGCAGTCTCCACTGGTGGCTCGGGACCAGCCCACGCTGGGTGCAGGGACACCGATGAGTCAGACTGACCGCTGGTTTTGGGAAGAGCTCCTGGCTGGGGGGGCAGGCAGGGAGCAAAGTCCCAGCCTGATTCTGCTGCCCCAGAGCCTGCTCGCTCCTTTCCTCACGATTTCCTGATTTAATTTTTTAACAGTGCTGGTGATCAGCAATAGAGCTGTTTTCATTTTGGAACACAAATCATGGTAAAGGCGGTTCCCGCGGGGGCAGGTCCACGTCTGGAAGGCTCCACCACGCTGGCCAGGCATTCCTGAGTTTCCTGGCTCCACAGCCCTGAAGCGGCTTTTTAGGAAAAATATCAGAGCACACTGCCTTGCTCTCTGAAGCTTGCTGCAAACCCCAGAGGGAGACTGAATGACTCACTCCCTCCTCTGGGCCTCACATTCCTGGGAGTACCCAGGAATAGCCCCTGAGACCTCTTGGTTTTCCCCAGCACAGCTGGAGCCGGATTCCTGCACAGCTGGCCCTGGGGCCCCCTCCCAGAGACATGTGTGCCTGCTCCTGAGAAAGGCGACCCCCAAGCCTCCTCCCTGGCAGGGCGTGTGCTGGAGCTCCCGGGAGCCTAGGAGAGAAGGGGTGGGGGCTAGAGAAAGCCTCAAGTGTGCAGCCCCGGATGCGGGTCCCATCCCGGCCCATGCGGCTCCCTTGGCATGGAGAGTGAGTCCCTGCCCTCTGCAGAGAGACGGGTGGATCTCCAAGGCCAGGGCTCTCCGCGCTGCACGCTCGAATCTTTGGCTGAGCTTTTGAAAAATGCGGCCGCCTGCAGCTCTTTTCCAGACGAATTCCAGAAGGTCTGAGCAAGGACGCAGGCAGGCATCAATTTTCCTAAATGCTCTGCAAGGAGGCCGAGGCGTGGCCCCAGGCCTTCCCCCGTCCTGCTGAGCTCAGAATGTGTTTTCCCAAGGTCCTCCGGCCACTCCTGCACAGTGGCACGGAAGCGCCTCTCACTTGCGGCGCCAGCGGGGGTTCATGGAGGGGCCTCTTGGCCTTCCAGCCTGGTTGCCTTTCCTCCCCAGGAGCCAGCCGCGGGAGGAGATGAGGCCAGAGTTCCGGGTTAGGAGCCCCCAGGAGCACGCTACAGACGTGGGGCAGGCCTGCATGGCGAGTTCGCGGCCCCGCGGGCACCCAGGCCAGGGCTCGTCCCTGTCTTCAGCCCGCACGTCCGAGCCAGCACCTGGGGAGTCTCGCTGCTTGGTGCCCGGTCAGATCCCAGGTTGCGGCAGGCTTGGTTGAGGGCTTCGTGGGAGAAGATGGCGGCGGGGAGAGGGTTTGGGTGCCGAGTCCTGAACGGTGTCTTCTCCGTGCAGGGAAGGAGGTGGCCGACAGGTGGTACAGCGAGATCAAGAACTACAACTTCCAGCAGCCGGGCTTCACCTCAGGGACAGGTGGGTGGCAGGCTCCTGGGCAGCCCTGGGTTGCCTCTTCCGGTTTCCTGTTTGCCCTCGCCCTGAGGCCTGGCTGCACGCAGCCCTGCATGAGAGCGGGAGAGCAGCCAGGCTGCGGGTTCCCGCCCCAGCCCGGAGCAGTGCTGCCGGCTCCCAGACCCCGTTCCCCATCTACCTCCCCAGCATCCTGCCTCCACTCTCGCCCCTCTCGCCAGAACATTTCTAAAACTCTCCCTGCCCGCAGTGCTCCCCTGCCTGAACTGTTGCGGCTTCCAGCGCACGGGGCAGGGGTCAAGCTGCGGTCCTGGCCTCCTCCTCCGCCTCCTTCCACGCCCCCACCTCCCTCCATGCCCCCACCTCCCTCCAGTCTCCCATGCCACGCCTCTGGCTTCCCTGGCTGTTCCTTTCACCTTCTGTTAGTCCGTGGGTCAAGCGTGCTTAGAATGCACAGTCTGCAGTTTGGTGTGTGAACATGGGTCAGTTCCGGTCCTTCCCTGTGACAGGGGAGAGGGACAAGGGGTGATCTCTAAGGGACATTATGAGCCTGGAGAGGGGGAATCCACCTTTCTCCTGCCACCACCACCCCTACTTCTCATATGGAGAGCGTCGACATTTAGCTTATGAAAGCCCCAGGCAGCCACTTTGTGCTCTGAGGTTCCTCTTCCTCCAATGCTGGTTTCATGAGGTTCCTTGGCTTTCCTTAGAACCCTCACAGACTCCAGAAGGGGGCACCAGAGAAACTGAGAAGGGATTCCCGGCCCACCCCCTCCCTCCCCCACCCCACCTCGCCCAGGGGTAGAGCCATTTGCGGTCTCACCCTCCGGCGCGGGTTTCTTCAGAAGCAGGAAGCGAGAGCTTTGAGAGCCAGTCACCATTTCCTGCTGCTCCTCCTTGGGGCAGAGGCTCTTGCCCCCTGGGTGGGTGGGACTCGGCAGAGGTGGAGGCTGAGCCATTTGCCCAGCTCTTCCCCTCTCAGGCCCCATGCCCCCAGCCGGACTCCAGGCCCTGTAGCAGGAGGGCGAGCAGGCGGGCAGGGAGCAGGGACGGCCTCCACCCACCAGGGATTAAGAATGTGGCGGCAGAGCCCTGACTTCTCTGACCAACGTGCAGGAAGCCTTGTGTGTCATAGCTTCTGGAGCTGTTCTTCCCCGAGCCAGATGCTGAGTCCAGGCAGCCTGTGAGCACTGTTCCTGCTGTCACACGGCCTCGTAGCACCGATGGAAGACAGGGCTTTATTCTACCCATTTTGCTGGAGAGGACGCTGAGGTCCACAGAGGGAAAGAGGCTTTTCTCAAGCCTGTAGTTCCCAGTCTGAAGCAGTTTCCAGGGCTCTGCTCCAAGGTGGCTTCTCGCAGGGGGTGGGGGAGGGGTCAGAGCAAGTGATCACACTGATGGCATGTGCCACTCATCACCCTCGCCTCTCCCACCCCTAACACGGAAAACTCTGGGGCTGCTGTGTGTCCCAGGTGCCGCTGGGCCATGCCTGGAGCCAGACAGAGGCCGGTGCTCAGGCAAGAGTGGGGCCTTGGTTAGTGTCATAACTGGGGTATGGGAGACCCTGGCCGGCCCTCAGGCCCATCATGCCTCAGCCTCTCCCACAGCCTGCTGCACGGTTGCTCAGGGATCTGACTGTGGTGAAGGCGGAAGAGCCGCTAAAAACCCTGTGGTCCGTGCCCATCCCGGCCCCAGGCCGCTGTCTTTTCTATATAGAACTTGAATGGTGAACGAAGAGACAGACAGAGATCTCCCATTCACCAGTCTGTTCCCTGAGTGCCTGCAACCGCTGGCACTGTGTCAGGCAAAGCCAGAGACACAGAAATCAGTTGGACTCTCCCATGTACGTGGCAGGCGCCTAAGTACTTGAGCCATCTCCCGCTGCTTCCCAGGGTGCACATGGACAGAAAGCTGGGATAGGCAGCGGAGCCGGGGCTTGAACCCAGGCACCATATGGGATGCAGGTGTCTCAACGGCTGCACCACAGGCCCTAAGAAACGGTTTCTCATAGTTACTTTGCTGTATTCTGCTTAAATGAGTACATTTGTTTCCTTATTCTCAATGAGTAATACTTTTACATGAGCAGAAGGTTGAAGCTATATAAGGTGAAAAGTTTTAATTCAAGCTCTGACCCCTGGCACTCTTCCTTTTTTTTTTTTTTTTTTTTTTTTTTTTTAATTTGTTTAAAAGAGCAACACAGAGAGAGGGAAGGAAGGAGGGATATCTTCTAGTCACAGGTTCACTCCCCAAATGCCCACAACAGCTATGGCTGGGCCAAGCCAACGCCAGGAGTCAAAATCTCCATCCGGGTCTCCCAGGTGGGTGACAGGGACCCAAGTACTTGGCCCGTCCTCTGCTGAATTCCAGGGCACTTTAGCAGGAAGCTGGATTGAAAGTTTGTGTTCTGGCTGTTCTACTTCCCATTGAGCTCCCTGCTAATGCACCTGGGAAAGCAGCAGATGACCCAAGTGCTTGGGCTTCTGCTACCCACGTGGGAGACCTGGAAGAAGCTCCTGGCTCCTGGCATTGGTTTGGCCCAGCACTGGTCATTGCGGCCATCTGGGGAGTGAACCAGCAGATGGAAGATCTCTGTCTCTGTCTCTCCTCTCTCTGTAACTTTGACTTTCAAATAAATAAATAAATCTTTAAAAAAAAAAAGCAAAAGAAAAAGAGTCATTGTTACTAGATTAGATTTAGAAGCCACTGTGTATCTGATGGTTGCTAAGGAAGTCATGTCCTTTAATTAATCTCTAAATGCGCATAACTTAATTACCTCTGTGCAGCCTAGAGGAGAAACTGCTTAGCCTCCTCTGCTTGGAGAAGCCGCCAGGGCGTTCCTGCCGTCGTGGGAGGTGCTCTTCTTCTGGCCAGCCAACAGATCCGCTGCCTCTCTCTGGGAGACAGGGAAAGGCCGGGTCCATGGCCACAGCCTGTGGTCTCTGGGGAGAAATGGCTTGGTGAGAAAGTCCCCCACAGAGACCTCTGGCAGGGCTGCTGGGAGTCAGGAGGACAGGGACCAGGGTGAGTGGTCGACGAGTGCTTCCCCTTTGTGCTGAGCAGAAAAGCAGAGTGTGCGGGGAGAGGTGTGGCCCATCAAAGGCTAAGTGGAAAAGGAGTGTGTCTGAGGCTGATTTTCTTCTCATCTTTGCTTCAGTCATGTAGGCATCGGCGCTTCCAGTGGATAATCCTCATGAAGAACTTAGCATTCTTAAGTCTTTTGTGGATGTAGACAAAGAAAGAAATTATATCGAAATTTTAAAAAGTACAAAAACAGGGAGCCGGCACCGTGGCGCACTAGGTTAATCCTCTGCCTGCGGTGCTGGCATCCCATATGGGCGCCGGGTTCTAGTCCCAGTTGCTCCTCTTCCAGTCCAGCTCTCTGCTGTGGCCCAGGAGTGCAGTGGAGGATGGCCCAGGTGCTTGGGCCCTGCACCCGCATGGGAGACCAGGAGAAGCACCTGGCTCCTGGCTTTGGGTTGGCTTAGCTCTGGCCATTGCGGCCATTTAGGGAGTGAACCAATGGAAGGAAGACCTTTCTGTCTGTCTCTCTCTCTCACTGTCTGTAACTCTATCTGTCAAATAAATAAATAAATAAATCTTAAAAAAAAAAAAGTACAAAAACAGAATTCAGCGATCAAGGGGAAGAAACAGAAGTTAGTCAGTGAACATTTTTTTCAGTCTTTACCATGTTCAAGACACAGTGGGAGATGACAATCTGGTCTCTTCCCTGAAAGGCTAGATGAATGTGGATCTCTCTCTCTCTCTCTCTCTCTCTTTTAAAGTTTGTAATAAAGCACAAATCACACAGAAGTTACCATTTTGATCCAGTTTAAGTAATTCACTGGTATTAAGTACATGATAGGGTTGATTGTGGCAGCCATCCCCACCACCCACCCCCAGATGGAAACTCTGTACCCATTACCAGCAGCTGCCCAAGCCTGCCTCCTCCCAGCCACGGCTCCTGGTAACCCCTACTCCACTTTCAGTCTTCAGGGATTTGACTATTCCATGTACCTCACATAAAGAAAATCAGATAATATGTGTTGTATCTGTCATATAATATGTTGCTTCACATAGCATAATGTTTCCAAGGTTCACCCATATCATACCATGTATCAGAATTCCTTCTGAAAGCTGTGTAATAGTCCATTTTGTTGATCCATTCCTTTGCTGATAGGCATCTGACTGTGTGACTTTGGGCCAATTGCTTAACCTCTCTGCTGTGCACATAGGTGTATAAATACCCAACTCTCTACTTGCAGTACTCTGGGTGTATACACACAAGTAGAATTGCTGACGCCCATGCAATCCTGTGTTTAATTTTTGAGGAATGGCTATACTGTCTTCCATCACAGCTACACCATTTTTTTCATTCCCATCAACAACACCCAAGAGTTCCAGTTTCTTCCACATCCTCTCCAACATGGGATTTTTAAAACATTATTACTGGATTTTTTTTTTGTCCTATGTTGTGAGTGGTTGTGTTCTTTCTTAACTACCCATGCCTGTCGCTTTACTCCTGCCTCCCACCCTCAGTCTCTTCCTTCTTCAGATATTCATTGAGCTTCTGCAGGATGCCACACCCAGTGCTGCACACGGGGCATAAAACCCACGTGGTGCCTGACCTCACATCTTGCCCACTCGCCACCCACATACTTGGTGGGAAACAGCATCGCGTTAGTGAGTGAGTGCTCTGCTTGCCCTGGGAGCTGATATCCCCCGATCTCTGTGAATGCTGAACAGGAAAGACAGGAGGGAGGAACCCCCCCCCACACACACACACACACTCCCAAAAGATGAGAAGAACTTGTGCTTGTTGAGCGAAGGCTATGTCATGGCATCCGCTGTTTGACCCGAGGTGGCGGGAGAGTTGGAAGCTAAGCTATGTTAGAGAAGGGCAGACAGCTTGGAACTGGGAGCCAGGCACGAAGCAGCTTCAGCAAAGCCGCCCAGGTGTCTGGAGGACAGAGCAGTAGCTTGCAAAGGAACTGAGCTGCTCGCCTCAAAGCAGAGGGACCTGTCCCATCCGTCCACAAAAGTTTATTCCACACTGTTCATGTCCAGGCTAGACCAAGTTGCTGGGCCTACCTTGATGGAGGAAACAAACCTGGGCTCTGCCTGTGTGGGGCTCAAAGCCTGGTGAGAGAGCCAAGAAATAACCAAGTAGTCAGGCAGACTTAGCACTGCCGATGGTAAGCACTCGGCACTGGTGTTTGGCCTTGCAGTTCAGATGCTAGCGAAGGTGCCTGTGTCCCACATCCGAGGATCAGGTTCCACCTCTTGATTCCAGCTTTCCGCCAGTGCAGATCCTGGGAGGCAGTGGTGACGGCTCAGGTAATTGGGTTCCTGCCACCCACATAGGAGACCTGGATTGAGATCCTGGCTCCTGGCCTCAGCCTGACCCAGTGCAAGCCAACATGGGCCTTTGGGAAATGAACCAATGGCTGGGAACTCTCTCTAATTGTCTCTCTCCCTCTCAAGTCAATAAATAATAAATTTTGAAAAAGGATACCTTGGGATGGTGGCATTCAGTTCATTAAAAGGTGGTTGCAAAAGGCTTCCTTGAACAGATGGCATTTAGGCTGACACTGGGGTAGGAGGCTGCTGGCCATCAGAAGATCGTTTCACTCCATGGCTATTGTATGCCAGACCGCTGGGAAGTAACCTGATGTGTTCAAGGAATGGACAGGAGGCTACTGGGCCAAAGCATTCACTTCTATTCTAGGGACAGCTGGACATGAGCAAAGGATTTTTAAGCAGGGAGATAAGCAGATGTGATTTATGCCCCCAAATGCTCACTCTGGCTACGTATGTGGAGGGGGAGTTGGAAGGGACCAATGTGGAAGCCAAGAACCAAGCAGGTGGCCCCTGTGATGGTCCAAATGCAAGGCTGGTTGTGGGAGTAGCTGGACTTGAGTTGGATCTTAGAGTTGGAGTCTTCAGGATGGACTGGCAGGCTGTGGTGAGGGAAGTGAGGAATGCAGACCCACCCCCAGGGGTGTGCACTGGGGTACTGTTGACGGAAGCAGGAGGGCTGGGACAGGCATCCATCCTGGGGACCGAGGGCGAGGGTGGGGTTGATAGGTTGAATTGGATACGGCTGAGTCATCCGAGTGGAAATGCCCAATGAGTGGCTGCAGGAACACCGAGCAGGAAGTTGCACTAGGGAAGCAAATCTGGAAGCCAGGGAAAGACGAAACTGTCTAAAGAGAGGAGAGAGAGAGAGAGAGGAGAACACAGGACTCAGCCCTGGGAAACACAGGCCCTGTAACATTTACAAGTGGGGTGGAAGAGCAGGAGGGGAGGCGACGGTGGGACAGGAGGAACGCCAAGAACCTGCGATGTCCGCAGAGTGCTGTCAAAAGCAGGGGGAGGGGCAGCCAGCTGTAACAAGTGTTCCCAAGAAGTCAAGTGAGACAACGGTGACCGCTGGGGGGCAGCACCGAGATCCCTGGGGACCCCACAGAGAGCAGGCCTGGGCACACCTGCTAGGTACAGTAACACCCTAGCTGTTGGGGGCACCGGGCTTTGTCGTGACCTCAGGGAAGGTGAGTGGGGCAGTGTGGCTGACAGAAGAGACCCGACGCTTTGGAAATCGGGCTGCCTCCTTGCCCTGGTTGGGGTCTGTGGGGTCAAGAAGGTGTGAGGGCTCAGGCCTCGCTTGCAAGTTTTCTCTCAAGCCTCAGCTGTCTCCCTTCCCACCCCCTGTCCCCCTGTAGGACACTTCACCGCCATGGTATGGAAGAATACGAAGAAGATGGGTGTGGGGAAGGCGTCAGCGAGTGACGGCTCCTCCTTCGTGGTGGCCAGATACTTCCCAGCTGGGAATGTCGTCAACCAGGGCTTCTTCGAGGAAAACGTCCTGCCTCCAAAGAAATAACAGGTGCAGCGTGACCAGAAGGTGTGAGACCTGAGCCTGTGGATATGAAGTGCCTCCAACGCCAAAACCCCAGCTGTGTGTCCGTCCCTGTGTGTGCGGTGCGTGTGCGCATCTCTCGTACACACACCCGGAGACACAGTTCTGCACCAGCTCATTCTTCCTCCAGGAATAAGCAGAGGAAGCCTTTGCCCTGGTGGTGGTGAGCTAGACCACAATTTTTTGGATTTGGGGTGGGAGGGGGAAGTCAATTTGTAAACATGTTTTGGTTATCTTGTAAGCAAGCTTCTTTTGTATCTTTCTTCTAATACCCATCCTTGGACTTTTTTGTATTCCAACGATTTGTGATGCCAAGAAGAGAAGTTCACATCTCGTGCCCTCCATGTGTTGCTCTCTACTTTGGGGAGATATTTAAGACTACCCAGCTAGCCTTCCCCTCACAGGACCCAAAACGCAGCTGTGAAGGCCCCACTGTAAAGCAGCTTCCATTGAACCTGGGCCGGCCAGGGGCTGCGTCTCACTGAAGGGTTGAGATTTCTCAGCTGTGAGCCATGATGTCATCCTGCGTGTCTCTGGGGATTCTCTTGTGCCTGCCAAGGACAAAGCGGAGAGAAACGCTTTGCTTCCTTGCCTCTTTCTACCTCCAAATAGCATAGCACCCTAGCCACGACCACCTCTTGCCCTCCTCTCGTCTTTCTTCTTAAACTCTTGGGGCTCTTCAGAGCTCACTGTGCTAGCCCACCATTCCGGGAGGGCCAGGCCTGGCGCTCCCCCTTCTGCCCGGCTAGGTGACCCAGGACAGCCCCTCACGCTGCCTGGGCTCTTGGCCAAGTGGCCTTGGATGGATGAAGTCACTGAATGTGGGGGTGCTGGTGAGCTCACTCGGGGCCCCTGGAGGAAGCCCTCCAGCCTTCCCACGCAGGGCGGGGACCTGGCCTGTTCCTGGCAGCTGTGGCTGCAGCTGTGCTGCCCCTCCCTCCCTCATGGAATGTGTGACAGGTCCAAGTGTTCCAGGGCCATGTCTTGGGCAGGGGGCTTAGAGACGCTAATTGGGTTCTGGGTTTTGCCTCAAACTAGACGGGTGCCTTTGAATAGCAGTCTCACAAGGCCCGGATGTGAGGGACCAACCCAGGCACCAAGTCCAGTGTCCCCGAAATCAAGGCATCTCCCATCTGTCAGGACGGGGGAGGCAGAGGGGAGTGAGGGGGTTGAGGCTTCAAGACAGGAGTCTGGGCGGGCCAGACCCCGACGCAGCCTGCGACAGTTCAGTGCTGCACTGCCAACAGTATCATGCCACGCCTCTCAGCCCATCAGGGGTGTGGACTAATAAGAAAATAAAGCCTTGTGTGTAACGTCTTCCTCCATGTGATTCCTGCCCCACTGCGGTCTGTGGCTGAGACAGTCTGTGGGCTGAATTCCTGTCTTGAGTAACTCAAGCCAACCCTCCCCTTTTTGAAGATGGTGCTGCTTAAAAGGCCAGTTGGGGGTGTACCTGTGGCATAGTGGTAAAGCCGCCACCTGCAGTGCTGGCATCCCATATGGGCACCAGTTCGAGTCCCAGCTGCTCCTCTTCTGATCCAGTTCCCTGCTATGGCCTGGGAAAGCAGTATAAGATGGCCAAAGTACTTGGGCCCCTGCACCCACGTGGGAGATCTGGAAGAAGCTCCTGGCTCCTGGCTTTGGCCTGACCTAGCCCTGGCTGTTGTGGCCATTTGGGGATTGAACCAGCAGATGGAAGCTCGCTCGCTCTCTCTCTCTCTCTCTCTCTATATATATATATATATATCTGCCTTTCAAGTAAATAAATAAATCTTAAAATAAAAGGCTACGTTTTGAATCCTGGGAGCCAGTCGCACACAGCTGATGGGATTCAGAGGGGCACCGAGGGCAGCCAGTCCCTCAGCTGGCTATTGGCTGGGGACTTGAACTAAGAATCATGGAGAGGCTGTTCCCCAGGCGGGGGGACTTCCAAAAATGAGGGTGCATGAGTTCACATGAGGGCCCCTGCAAACCAAAGCTGCGCTACCATGGGAAGTACATAGAAGTGAGAAAGCCAGGTGTTACAGGTGCACAGGAGGAAGAGGAGAAACCAAAAAGGAAATGACCCATTCCTGAGCTGCGTAGTTTCCGGCCAGGTTTTTGTCAGGGCTCACCCCAGATGAGAAGAGTGGAGGCGGAAGCTGGGGCTGGGTGGAGGGCAGCGACCTGGCTGAGGTTCTTGTTTGGCCACAGCTGGCAAGCTGCCAGGCAGTGAACTTCCTGATAGCTCCTACTCCATGCACACACACACACACACACACACACACCCAGCCAGGTGGTGGCAGCTGGACCCGAGGCATGAGCTTTCCAGGGTGGAAGGAAGGACAGCCAGAGGGCGGAGCCTGCAGAGCAAGGTTGGGGCACTAGTCACACCTCTTTAACAGAGCTCTTGAGGGCAGCAAGCCCTACAGCTCGCCAGCCCTCTTGTGACCAGAGATCCCAGGATGCAGCCGGCAGTGAGCTTGGATTTGAGCAGGCCCCTTGCTGAAGCTGCAGGAGATCGGGCATGCATTTGGGTCTGCTGGGCCCGCTTGGGCCTCTGGGACACGGGCGCATCCGCAGGCCCTCTCTGGCTAGAAGCATATGACGAGAGAGTGCCTTCCTGCCTTGCTGCTCTGGGACATGAAACCAAAGCGGGTGTGGCCACCTTCTCTGTCAGATGCCCCCAAAGCAGAAGCATGTGCAGGCAAGAGGCCAGGCCCACCCATCCTTGCTCCTGGGGAGGGAGGTGCCCAGGCGGGCAGACCTGCTAGCCTGGCCAGGGTCTCATCCTTTTCCCAAGTGGCTGCTGCTTCCCGCAGGTCAGGGAAGCACTTCTGGCACAGTCAGCGAGAGGGCGCTACTTAGCCAAGGCATAGCAGGCCTGGGGGAGGGGGCGACAAGTGCACCATCCAGTGGGGAAAACACATCTCACCCCAAGAGACAGAGCCTCTGTCCCATGCAGGCATCAAGGTGAATACCTTGTTTTACGGGGTATTTTAACACAATGGTCAAATTATCAGATCCCAAAATAAGGAAAAGCTGGGTCTGGAATGAAAAGACAAGGGAGGGAGACATGACCAAGCAGGGAAGGCAAGCTGGAGAGGACTCTAGGAGAGCCGCTCAGAACAGCCAGAGGGTTCAGGGAGCATGGGGCAAAGACTCAGAGGCAAGTCCTGAGCCCAGGTCCCCTCAGCAGCATCAGTGCCCAAACGGCTGCTCCGGCTGGGGGCGGAGGCTCCGGGTGGCCCCTTTCCCGCTCCTGGCACAGATGCACCCCGGGCGCCCCGCGGGGCCCAGGAGGCGGGGAGTGCGGACGCTCACCCCAGGGACCTCCCGAGAGGACGCCCCGAGTCAGAGAATGCTGCCCTCTGGCGGCGCGCGCCCTCGCTGAGGCTCAGCAGCGCCATCCGTGAACTGGGGTCGGGGCGGGGGTGGGGGTGGGAGAGAAGTGTGCCTGCAGGCTGTGTGCCCTGGAGCCCACAGCCTGAATTCCAGGGGCGCGGCGGGAGGAGCTGCACGGTGGAGCCCTTAGGGGCGTGGAAACACAGCGGAAAGGGGCAGCTCCGCTCTTTTACTAGGGTGGTGCCCGGCGCAGAGGCCGCGCTCTCCAGCGGCTGCAAATGACCCGCCAGCCCCACCGTGTGGCCGGAGCAGGCCCAGAAACCGGCTCAGAGGGCACGGGGGTTCCACAACCTCGCATCCACCGCAGACCTCCAGGGCGCTGGGTGACCTGGGGTGAGAAGGAATGTTGAGAAGGGCTCTGTAGTCCGCATTTACGAACTTTCACTAGGATCCAAAGTTCGTCCTTACCACTCTAGCCATTTTCTCATGAAATTTTGAATCTTTTTTCAACATTTTATTTATTTGGAGAGAGAGAACACCCATTCCTCTGGTTCACTCCCCAAATTCTCACTAACAGCTGGGGCTGGGCCAGGCAGAAGCCCTGAGCTAGGAACTCCATTTGGGTCTCCTATGTGAGCAGTGGGACCCAGACATTTGAGACATCACCCGCTGCCACCCAGGGTGCACATTAGCGGAAAGCTGGAATTGGGAGCCAAGCTGGAAGTCAAGCCCGGTTATGGGATGTTAGACCACACCAAAGCTGAGAGTCTGAGCCACTCGTCCAGGACTACACTTGATGGAGAGAGCTAGCCTGTCACGGCTCCTGACATTTTATTTTTATTTTTTTAAAGATTTTTAAAAATGTATTTGAGAGGGGCCAGCATTGTGGCATAGAGGATAAAGCGGCCTGCAATGCTGGCATCCCATATGGGCTCTGGTTCAAGTCCCAGCTGCTCCACTTCCCATCCAGCTCACTGCTATTGGCCTGGGAAAGCAGCTGAAGGCTTTCTCTCTCTTTCTCTCTCTCTCTCTCTCTCTGGTTCTACTTCTCAAATAAATAAAATCTTTAAAAAAAAAAAATGTATTTGAGAAGTAGAGTTACAGACAGAGGGAGAGACAGAGGGAGAGGTCTTCCACAGCTTGTTCACTCCTCAAATGGCCGCAACAGCCAGAGCACAGCCAACCTAATGCCAGGAGCCAGAAACTTCCAGGTCTTCCACAATGGGTGGACTTGGGCCATCTTCTACCGCTTTCCCAGGCCACAGCAGAAATCTGGATCAGAGGAGGAGCAGCTGGGACACGACCCAGCACCCTTATGGGATGCTGGCACGGCAGGCTGGGACCCAGCCCACTACGCCATAGCATTGGCCCCATTCTCCAACATTTTACAACGAGGCACTTGGATACAGGGAGAGAATGCCCCATTCTGTGATGGAATCAGCAGAATCAGGCTTCAGAGGACTCCACATGCTGGATCCTGCGTCCCTGCTCCAGTGAGCGGCCTCCCTCACTCCCTTTAGGCTGAAGGAGAACGGTGTCCGTGGCCATAAAGGTCAGAAGCCAGAGGACACTGCTTTTCTTCTCTGATGTCCGGGAGCCTTGGCTGATGAGGGGACTCAGGTAGTCAGAGTGGTCAGGAGTCCCCTGCAAGGGTGGACAAGTTGGGGATGACTTGGGTTTCAGGCTGGCTCTGGGGTCTTGGGCACACCTCTTCTCCTCTTAGGGCCCCAACTTCCCTCCTACAAAATGAGAGGATTCTTCTGGATGATCTGGACACTTCCCTTCCCCCACCCCTTATCTCCCCTACACAAGCCTTTCCCCAAAGTCCCACCTAAACTGCACTGAGGTGTGAAAGTCTCTGATGGGAACTGCAGCCCATCCATGGGTTTCCTCCTGAGCTGGTCCTGAGCTGTAGGTGCCAGTAGGGCACGTGGTTGGAGTAGGGCAGGCTGGAGTGATCAGACAGGAGAAGGGCCCAGGGCTTCTGAGAAACACCCCAGGGGAGGGGCCTAC